TAAAGATTTTATTTATTTATTTGAGAGAGAGAGAATGAGAGAGAGCACATGAGAGGGGGGAGGGTCAGAGGGAGAGGCAGACTCCCTGCCGAGCAGGGAGCCCCATGCGGGACTCGATCCAGGGACTCCAGGATCATGACCTGAGCCGAAGGCAGTCGCTTAACCAACTGAGCCACCCAGGCGCCCTCCATGGTCTCTTTTCCAAGATGGGATGACAATATCTAACACAGTGACTGAAGGATTAAAATGAAACGATGTACGGTCAAGCGCCCAGCACGGGCACAAAATTGAAGCTTAGTAAAAAGAAGCTGCTATTTCTATGTTGTGAAGCTCTCCATTTGTATACGTGCCACCTGTGGTTCAAAAGCCTGGGAGCATGGGCTGTGTGTGGGTCCAGGCTGTGGGAGCCACGGCACCTCCAGGCTCTCTCCCGCTGGGCCAGGGAAGGGGTTGGGGCTGCAGAGAAGCTGGAACGTCATTACCCGGGTTTTCACAGACCTCTAGACTGGCGTTGTCCCACGGAACTTTCCGCGATGATGAGAATGTTTTGTATCTGTGCCATCCACTGTGGGAGACACTAGTCTCCCATGGCCACTGAGTACCTAAAATACAGCTAAGGTGGCTGGTAAACTTAAATGTTCATTTTACTTAATTCTAACTAATATGCCTTTAAATAGCCACATGTGGCTAGTGGCTACCATACTGGGCATCATAGCTCTGTACAGCTGGAGGGGAAGAAGACTTTGGTCCTACTAGATCGTTGTATGGGGGAGGAAACTGAAGTTCAGAGCAGGGAAAGAACTTGCCCAAGGACATATAACATCATCTGTCTGTGAGTCTCAGCCAGGAAGGAGTGTGAATAAGTCCAGCTGGAATGTTCTCTCATGGAAAGGCTGCTTCCCTTTCTTTGCCCATGCAGGACAAGCCAAGCTGGAATCCATGCACAGCTGGATTAGCCAGCATCTGAGTGCCACCTGGATGTCAGCAGTGTTTTAAGCACCTGCAGTGTATTAATTCATTTAATCCTCAGAGTAACTCTGAGATGTGGGTATCATCATTGCCTCCCTCCCGCTTTTTTTTTAGATGGAAGAGTCTTCTGGAGCTTTCCCCACATATTAACACCAATCTAACAGTATATTCATGCCTTCCCTAAGGGTCTGACTTGCTCTGAGATTTCTGGGGATGCTCCCCCACCACAGGAACCAGACGTGGTCCAGATATGCTAGAAGAAGGTAAAGTCCTTGCCAACTCTGAAAAGAAAGCCATTTCTCAGGCAGCCATAGCAAGAAGAATCCCCACATTCCAGCTCTTCATAGGCTCTCTTGGCTACCTTACTCTGCTACTGCTTGAGCCCAGACTGCTCCTCAGAATGAGCCCAGACCCATCCCCTCCCTAGGTTCTTACCCTTGCAGCTCTGCAGCAGTCTCTGCGGGCGGGGAAAGAAGGAAGATGAGCTCCGCCTCCCTGCAAAAGTCAGACACTGAGCCGTGAGACCAGTGGTCTGGAAACCAGCACATCACCCGCTGCCTGCACACCCCCTGCAGCCCCAAACATCCAGAGAAAGCTGATTTTATTATAACCGACAAAGAAACAACTGGCAGAAATGCCCCAAATCAGACAAGTAAAATCTGTGACTATGTCGTTGCTCGATGAATCCCCAGAGAGTATTCTTTAAAAGTCAGGAAAACAGTATTTACAGAGAAGACTTTAAAAAGTTAGGAATGCAAAGAGTTTTTGTGGGAGTTACAGTATTTTAGGGTTAAGAGGCACGGCACTTGACCCACTCCGTAATCCAAACAGGTAACCCCAGTTCAGCACCACGGAGAGCAACTTGCGGCTAATGATTCTTTCGCTATGCTTCCTAGATGCGTTGACTCATTCCTTCAACCCTCCGCCCATCTACCCATCCATCATTCTACTCAGCACTATCTACTGAGTGCCAGGTGCCAGGCCTGAGCTAGGCTCTGGAGATACCCACGTGAATAAAACAGATTCAGGCACACAAGCGTAGCTATTGCAGACGCAGTGCTCCATTTCCCACTCCCTACCTTCCCCTCCCCTTTTCTCAAGCCTCTGAAGGCCCAGATTCCACTCCTTTGGCTCACCTGACCTGCAGGGTCCTGACAGTAGGGCATGCGACTGCCACCTTTGTCAAGCAGAGTAAGGTTGACACGGAGACATTGTTGCGGCTCAGGCTGCAAGATTGTGGCAAGGGTATCAGGAGTGAATCCTGTATCCCATGGGCCCCAGACTTTTTTTGCTCTCCAGGGGAGGTGGGTAGCTCAGGCAGGGGTGGGGGTGTGTGGAAAGACGGCTTACTCAAGCTTCTGGAGCCGTGGCAAACAAGGAAGTACCTCCACGATGTTCAGCACAGCCCAGTCCTTGAGCTGGTTGTCCTGAAAGCTGCAAGAGACCAAGGTCCAGTCCCTCAGCCATGGAGTTGGGGGCCTTGGGAGCCCCAGTTGGCAGGTGACATGGCTGCCCTCATGGAGGAGACACAAGTCATAGGCCCACAATGGGTTGGTAACCTGCTCCACAGTATCCAGTAGGCCCAGCTAGGAGGAGAGTACCTCTGCTGGCCTCACTTCTGTCCCTATTCAGCCCCAGTGGGGGAGTTCCTGCCTAGTGGCCCAAGATGATGGGCTGTGAAGGCCTCATGAGGTGGAATGAGAACACCCAGCACACTGCTCTCAGGGCTACGTCTGGGATGTGCCTGAGGCCATCTAGTTTATTATGGCCTCTTGGCTCTTGGGTGATGAGCAGAGTCTAGACTGGGATACAAGAGATCCTGCTTCCAGCCCCAGCTCTGGCCTTGACTCACCCAGAACCTTAGGCCAAGCACATTTCTTCTGACCTCACATTCTTCATCTGTCAAATGGGGTCCACAACCCAGCCTTGCCTGAGTTCCTAGCCGGACGGACAGAAGTACGAGGGTACCTTTGTGCAAGATTGCTCTGGTTAGTGCAGAGGTTTGGAAATGTGAACTTGTTGACACTTATTTCCCCCTGATCATAGAGAGTGACGTTAGTCTTTTCTCCTATCAGCCAGTGATCCCACAGAAAGGCACCCAGCTGAGGGGATAGGAGCTGTGGTCCAGCTAACACTCCACTCAACAAGCAGGATGACCTAGTGCCAAGCTGCATGTCTCTGGACAAAAGGGTGTCTTTCTAAATCTCATAAAGGTGCCATATAAACTAGTGGTGGTTCTGCCAATGAGCTGCCGAGAAGGCTCCCCGGCCCCACCCCTCTTAGGCTACTCATCACAAACACAGGGCAGGAATATATTTGCGGACATGTGCTCAGTTAGCATGTACTTGCATCTAAATGTGTATGTGGATCTAAGTGTGCACAGGTGTGCACACACCTATGAATGTGCCAGTGAGGGGAACATATTTAAGTGAGCAGGCGAGTGCAACTGTGCACACATGTGCACGAGTGTGAAGGTATATGTTTCATGCATTTATGTGTACCCACTGTGCCTGACACCTGCCTACATGTTGCCATCCCTTCTCTCAAGGTCACAGAAAGATGGGTAAGGGGCCTCAAAGTTCAAGGTCCTTCAAGACAGCCCAAAATATTAGATGAAGGAAGCGGTGCTCGAGGGTCTCTGGGAGCTTTGTGTTTGGATTCAGACCCATCCAGTTCTTGGACCAATGCCTCCCCTCTCTGGGTCTCACTGAAAAACTGGCCAGATCCTGATGGGAAATGCAGGACTCATTACAGGCTCTGGGGTGGGGGTGGGGAGCCCAGGGACCTAGGAAGTGACTCGTCCCCCTTAGCCAGCAGGTCATCTTGGAGATCACTCACCTGACCTCTTCCAGCTGTGGACAGAGGCGCAAAGCCTGCACCAGGTGGCTGATGCCTCGGGCAGTGATCTTACTTCCTGCTAACCTACAGGGCAAGCAAAGGTGGTGGGAAGGAATGGGGGTGGGAAAGGGGGCAGGCCAGGAATCTGCCCTGTGCAGGGTCAAAAGGAGAGGGGAGAGTTCCAGGCATATCCAGCTGAGGATCCCTCTTGGACCCAAGCCCTGGCTCACCCCAGCTTCTTCAGGCTCCCCATTGTCGGCAGGCTCCTGGAGAGGGCTTCTGCAAAGGCGTCCCCACACTTCCTGCTCTTAAAGCTGCCACAGGAAGAGGCAAGGTAGCAGAGGCTCAATGCTGAGCAGGGCTTAGAAGCCATCACCCATCCCTTCCTCTGACAGATGGAACTGAGTAGTTATGTTAATAGTTATAGTAGTAGTAGTAGCTCTTGTCTGTAGTAATAACAAACACGGATTATGGCAGAGACTGCTAACTGCCCACTGAAACCCATTCTCCGTGGATAGAACTCTAACCGGGAACACGGTTTCCCAGTTACAGGCGGCATTTCCAGCCTCCCGTGCAGCTCAGAGCAGCTACGCAGCTATGTTCACTGGAATGTGAGCAGAAGGGATGTGCCCCATCTCGGTGTGTGTGGGCTTTAACACACGGGGTACATCTAAGGCGTGCTCCCCTTCCCTTCCCCTAAGCCAGAGCACGATATGCCCATGACCCAGCTTTGACCATGCAGATCCAGGTGCCTAAGGAGATGATGGAACATCAGTGGAAGGGACCTGGGTCCCTGCATGACCACACGGAGCTAGCCATCTCAGAGACCCGGACCACTTACTTCTGAGTGCTCCATGACAGTGAAACAATATTCAACATTATTTAAGCCACTGTATTTGGGGGTGGGGGGGTGGGTTCTCTCAGCCTCACCTTTTCTCTCGCTACTATTGCACATACTAAGCCTTCACTGTGCGCCAGGCACTCCCCAAGGAGGGTTTTCCTGGCATTCTCTTATCTGGCTCTCACAACAACCTCATGTAGTGAGGATTATTACTGACTCGTTTTAGGGAAGAAGAAACTCAGGCTGAGAGGTTAAATAACCTGCCCAAAGTTAAACCACGTCTGGAGTCAGAGGCTCCAGCCCACGGCTGAGAGGGAGAGAGACTGAAAGCCCAGCAACCACAAGAGCAATGTCCAGTTGAGAGCCAACTGGACCCTAAGGTCTTGGGAGGAAGGGAGCTTCGGCACCAGCTCTCAGGCTGAGGGACAGACAGTTCGGACTATCTGTTCTGATGTTCGAGATTTGCACCCAGGCTCCTGCAGGAAGGGTCTGACCGACTCCACCCTCCCGAAGCCCAGTTCCCTCCCAGGTCCTCCCCAGTCCTCCCCAGTCCTCCCCTGACCCTACTCTCACCTGAGATTCTCTACCTGCTTACAGCCTGCCAGGGCCTCAGGGCAGTGGGGCTCCAGGGGGCAGCCCTCAAAATCCAGGTGGATAGGGGCATTCCTGTGCCCCAAGATGTTGGTCAGGGCAGCCAGGTCAGCAAAGGTCAGTGGGAAATTGTGGAAAGACAGGTGGCAGGGGAGACTTTGGGCCACGAGGCTGGCCAGCTCAGGCTCCTGGGTCTCTCCCACGCAGTGACAGAATGCTACCACCTTCGGCCCCGTGAGCCTGCGGGGGGCCAACTTCCTCAGGGCCTGCATCACCACAGCCTGCCTGGCACTCACCCACGTCTCATCCCTCCGGGCCACGTGGCTGAGGAAGGGTCGGCAGGCGTGGGACGCCAGCCCTGCCAGGAAGGAGGGGAGGTGGTCCAAGAGGCCCGGCTTAGCTTTGGTCCGCAGCACCCAGCGAGAATTGAGGGTGACGTGGCCGGCAAGCGCATTTTTGTCCACCTTGGGGTTGACCATCAGGTACAAGGCAGCAAAAAACTCCTGTAGGCTGAGGTGGGCGAAGGCATAGCCTGTAGCCTGGTGCCCAGGGCCCGTGCAGACGCAGAAGGAGGTCAACAGGCTGAGGGCAGCCCCGAAGGCCATCGTGGACGGACGGATGTCTCCTACGGAAAAGATAACCTTGCCGGTCTCCAGGCCCCTCAGGGCCACCTCACTGAGGTCCAGCAGGGACTCGGGAGGCGGGTAGCCTCGGGGGCCGAGGGTGGACACCATCTGCACGTAGTTCTGAGTCACGGTGGGCAGGAGGGCCGCAGACTGGCCTGGACAGCTGCGGGGGAGCAGACGGTGGAGGCACATGCAGGTGACCTGGCAGAGCGCGGGCACTGCGCACATGCTCTGGAGGTGTCTGCTTTTCCGCAGCTCTGCCAGGGCCGCCTCCTGACACAGCTGGTCCGTGAAGAAGCGGACCATGTACTCCTCCACCCGTGGCCTGTCAAAGCCCCACATGTGGACCGTGGCTGCCTCTGTGGGCAGGCAGTCGGGCAGCTTCCCTGGACGGGAGGTGGTCAGTACCCAGCAGCCAGGCAGCAGGGTCCCCCGGCAGAGGCCAGAGAAGAGGGCAAGGGCCGGACTTGGCTCCTCAGGACCTTCCCTCTCCCTGCTGGAATGGGGGTGGAGGGCCTGGTCCAGCCCATCAAAGATCAGCAGGACTCCGTTAGCGTTCTCCTCCAGGTACTGGAAGACCGAGTCAGGGCCCGCCTCGGGGCTCAGGTACAGGTCAAAAAGGAGCTGGGGCAGTGTCAGGAGATGTGTGATCAGGTTGAGCTGGCGGAACTCGAAAAGGAACAGGGCCTGGAAGCGGTCCAGCTGGCCGTCGGCCCACCTCTGGCAGAGCCGGTGGGCCAGGGTGGTCTTGCCCATGCCCGCCTTGCCCAGGAGCACCGTCACCCTCGGGCCCTTGTCGGCCCTGGTGTTGAAGAGGTCCCGGATGCTCACATCAGTGCCGTCTTCTGCCTTGGGGTCCCCCAGGGTGGCCCCCTCCTGGGTGTTGAAGGGTGTCGTGGTCCGGCTCCACTGCAGGATCGGGGGGATGTAGGCCTGGTGGAAGGCAAGGGGTTGCCCTGGCCCCGGGATCCGGCTGCCATAGCGCCGCTGGGCGGAGGTCTTCAGCAGCTGCAGGTACCTCCTGGCCAGCTCTGCAGGGCACAGGGAGAGGCATGAGGGCGGGGGACCTCCCACCCCTAGATTCCCTCACCCCAGTACTGGCCGTTGGGAGCCTGCAGCCTCAGCTGTGTGTGCAAGGGGGTGGGGACTGGCAAGAACACACAATTCCTAGAAGGAACTCGTTCCACAGAAGCACTGGTTCTGGGGGCCATTTAAATGGGGAAGTCTGGCTGGGGGAGCGTAGATCACGGCTCTGTTTGTTTTGCAACAATATAAATGCTGTAAAGTTGTCAGTGAGACGGCGGTGGGGGGGGGCGGGGAGGTTCCTTTGCAACATCTTCTTAGAACAACTTCTTAACTGTGTATCTGAGTACCCTGTTCTCCTCCCAATATTTCAGTTCTGTGACGCCCAGGGGTGAGTACTAACAACCTGTAGGCCTAGGCATCGGCCAGTCAGAACTGGAGCTGGGCCCTTACTATGTCAGGCATTGACTTTCTAATTGCTGGATCCCTGGGAGAGCTTGGGTGGCCCAGGGGAAGAACCGAGGCCGCTGTCAGGGGATGCTGGGGACAGGTGGTTGAGAACAGGATTCTTCTGGACAACTGGTGGAGAATGAGAAAAATTCTGTCTTCTCTACTCCCTCCTGCCTGGCCGGTCCTCAGCAGCCCCCATGCCTTGTGGTGGCGGTGAGGGGTCTCCCTGGTATTCTGCCCATCTGTAAACTGGCCAGTGAGGGCCCAGGTCTGAGGTCATACTGGTCACCTCTGCTCTGCCCACCCAGGACCTCCAATCCATCTCTGTTGGAAGGAAGACAAGAGTTGCTGGGCTCCTGGAGGCTTATCAGCAGGGCACAGAGTCCAGGATCTGTGTCCTGGCCCCAAGGCAGGTCCTTATGTCTGGGTCCTTCCCAGCCTTGATACCCACCTAGCTGCTGCTTCTTGCACTGCTTCGGGCGGGGTGAGGACCCACAGCTCTGATAAGGCCGCTTGAGGCCTGGAAAGAATGAGAGAAGAGTAAAGAGTGAAGTTTGGGGGCCTGGGCTGAGGGGGCACCGAGCACCTTTGGGGAGCTCCAGGCCACAAACAGGCAGTAGGCAGACAAATGTCGCTGCACCCAGGGACTGAGTGAAGGCAGGCAGCGGGCAGAGGCTGCATCAATACCAGCTCTGTTTGCAGAAGTGGGTCCCAGGCCTGGGTGAGAGGCCCAGAGGCTCTGGGCTGGGGGATCTCCCAGTCCAGGATGCGGGGAGCTGGGCCCACAGCCAGCAGCCTCAGAAACACTCAGCCCAGAGCACTGAATGGCCTGGGATAGACCCAGGTCTGTCGAGGCTACTGCTGGTTAGAAAAGTGGACTTTCCAATGTGCTTGGCTGGGCCTGTGGCCTCCCTCTGGGGTCAGTGTGTTTTATCACCCTTATGTCACATCTCCCACACTTCCTCACTTCCCTTACTGGTTTCTCGAATTCTTGTCTGGTTGTGGATTGTCAAGAGTCACTTTAATGCCTTTCTGAAGAGGTTGGAAAAGGAAGACAGGAAGAAGGAAAAAAAGAAGGAACGGGAGAGAGAAGGGAGGGGAGGAGGAAAGGCAAGAGGACTTAGGGAAGAACGTGACGAAGTAAAGCGGGATACTCCCACAGCCAGGCATCGATGATGGGTCAGAGCAGCCCCTGAGCAGGCCCCTCGCCCTGCCAGGTGTGAGGTTTCTCGGTGCTGGACTGCAGGGAGACTGAGGGATCCCAGAGAGGGACTAGAACCAGTTTGAGGGTATTTTAATGTTCTGTCAAGTCCTCTATCAATAAGGGGCCCACTGGCTAAATATCATTCAGGTCTGGTCACAGCCATGTGATAATTATGCCACCTCAATGACACGGGCCAGAAGGGACAGGACTGAACGGTTTTGATCTGCTGGGATTATGGGGTGGATGTTTTCTGTTAAAGCCTGTTGGATGTTACTGCCATGCACAGCTATAAGTAAAAAGCCCATACTTCTATAGAAATAAAGGTTCTGAGTGCACAGCCATCGTCAGACACAATGGTGAAAGACAGAAAGCTTTCCCTTTAAGATCAGAAACAAGGCTGGGGCGCCTGGGTGGCTCAGTTGGTTAAGCGACTGCCTTCGGATCAGGTCATGATCCCAGGGTCCTGGGATTGAGCCTGCATCGGGCTCCTTGCTGACAGGGGGCCTGCTTCTCCCTCTCCCTCTGCCGCTTCCACTGCTTGTGGTCTCCTGCTCTCTCTCTGCCAAATAAATAAATAAAATCTTTAAAAAAAAAAAAAAAAAGATCAGAAACAAGGCAACGATGACTGCTTCCACCACCTCTATGCAACATAGTAGTAGAAAGTCCTAGCCAGAGCAATTGGGCAAGTAAAAGAAATAAAAGGCATCTAAATTGGAAAGGAAGAAGTAAAACCTGTTTGCAGAAGACAGGGTCTTATATGTAGAAAACCTTAAAAACTCCATGAAAAGGTTCTTTGGAACCGATAAATGAATTCAGCAAAGTAGCAGGATACAAAGTCGACATACACAAATGAGTTGCGTTTCTACACACAATGAACAACCTAAAAGGGAAATTACGAAACCGATTCCATTTACGAAAGCACTGAAAGAATAAAATGCTTAAACATTAACCAAGAAGGTGGAAAACAGCTTCTTGAAATGAAAACTACAAAACATTGTTGAAAGAAATTAAAGAAGGTGTAAATAAATGCAAATGCATCCCAGGCACATGGCCTGGAAGACTTCAGATTGCTAAGATGGCAATCTTAGCCCAAACAATCTACAGATTCAACACAATTCCCATCAAATCCCAATGATCTTTTCTGCAGATATAGGAAAACCGATCCCAAAATTTGTGAGGCTGACAAAATTCTAAAAAAACTCTTGAAAAAAGAACAAAGTTGGAGGACTCGCACTTCCTGATTTCAAAGCTTACTACAAAGCTACAGTAATCAAAACAGTGTAGCACTGGCATAAAGACAGATATACAGACTGATGGAATAGAATAGAGAGCCCAGAAAGAAAACTTCACATATACAGTCAAATAATTTTTAATGAGAGTGCTAAGTCCATTTAATGGAGAATGGACAATCTTTTAAAAAAATGGTGCTGGGAAAACTGGATGCCCACACACAAAAGAATGAAGAAAGACCCTTATCTAACATCACATACAAAAATTAACTCAAAATGGATCAAGGACCTAGATATAAGACCTCTAACAATAAAACTCTTAGAAGAAAACATAGGGCAAAAACTTCACGACACTGGATTTGGTAATGATTTCTTGGATATGGCGCCGAGGCACAGAGAACACAAGAAAAAATAGACAAAACGGCTTCATGAAAGTGAAAAACATTTTGTGCATCAAAAGACACTATCCACGGAGTAAAAAGAGAACCTACAGAATGAGGGACATCTGCAAAACATAGATCTGAAAAGGGATTAATATCCAGAATATATAGAGAACCCCTAAACTCAACAACAGCAAAACAAAGAAGGTGGTTAAAAAAAATGGACAAAAAACTTGAAGAGACGTATCTCCAAAGAAGGCATAAGAATGGGCAATAAGCACATGAAAGGTGCTCAGCACCACCAATCATTAGGGAAATGCAAATCAAAACTACAATGAGATCAATACCATCTCACACCCATCACAAGAGCTACTATTAAAAAACAAACAAACAGGAAACAACAAGTGTTGGTGAGGATATGGAGAAATCACAACCCTTGTGCACTGTTGGTGGGAATGCAAAAGGGCGCTGCGTATGTGAAAACAGTATGAAGCGCCTCAAAAAATTAAAAAAGAATTACCATATGACCTAGGATTCTAAAGATATACTCAAAAAGAACTGAAAGCAGGATTTTAAAGAAATATTTGTTCACCCATGTTCACAGCAGCATTATTCACAATAGCTAAATTATGGCAGCAATCCAAGAGTTTATCAATGGATGGATGGACAAGCCAAGGGTGGTGTACACAGACAATGGAACTTTCGTCAGCCTCACAAAGGAAGGAAATCCTGACACCTGCTACAACATGGAGATACCTTAGGGACATGATGCCGAGTGAAATGAGCCCGTCACAAAATGATTCCACTTATAAAAGCTACTGAGAGTAGTCAAATCATAAAGACAGAAAGTAAAATGGTGGTTCCCAGGGGCTAGGGGAGAGGAGACTGGGGAGCTATTGTTCAATGGGGACAGAGTTTCAGTTTTCCAAGATGAAAAGGGTTCTGGAGATGGATGGTGGTGATGGTCGCACAACAAGAGTGAATTTAATACCACTGAACTGTGCACTTAAAATGGTTAAGATAGGGGGCGCCTGGGTGGCTCAGTTGGTTAAGCGACTGCCTTCGGCTCAGGTCATGATCCTGGAGTCCCGGGATCGAGTCCCGCATCGGGCTCCCTGCTCGGCGGGGAGTCTGCTTCTCCCTCTGACTCTCCCCCTCTCATGCTCTCTCTCTATCACTATCTCTCTCAATAAATAAATAAAAATCTTTAAAAAAAAATAGTTAAGATAGGGGCGCCTGGGGGGCTCAGTCGGTTGGGCATCTGCCTTTGGCTCAGGTCATGATCTCAGGGTCCTGGGATCAAGTCCCACATCAGGCTCCCTGCTCAGTGGGGAGTTTGCTTCTCCCTCTCCCCCTCTCCACCGCTTGGGGTTCACTCTCTCTTTCAAATAAATAAGTAACATCTTTAAAAAAATGGTTATGTGTATTTTTGCCACAATTAAAAAAAAAAAAGAAAAAGGAATAAAGGTTCAGAGACTAGAGCGTGGCCCATGAATCATGAGGTGGTCACCACTTGATCGCTGACCTCTCTGTGTTCTATCCGAAAATCAGTCAGAGGTTGCCAGGGTGTGGACAGCAGTCCATGGGTCAGTATCAGGCCCCAGGGCATCTGAATGATGAGGGGCCTGAGTCTGTGGGTCTGGAGGACGAGGCCTGAGGGTTGGGGACAGGGTGAGAACACGCTAAAGTAGACGGGATTGAGGCACTGCCCAAGGGCTGCCAACTTTCCACTCACGCAGAAAGCTCCAGCTTAGATCTCTGGGAACAGGTATCAGGACAGACCAAAGCCTTCAGGGGCACAGAAGGGGAGGAGGTGGGGCTAGGAGCCATGCAGGGGGGCAAGGGATATGTACAGATGTGTTGGAGGATAAGGAGGCTGGTTTAAGGGAAATGTCCATGCCCAGCTACCATCAGCCTCCTCTGGGCTCGAGGTAGAGACTTAGCATGCTCACCACCCCCCTCCTACTCCACACCCCCAGGCCTCACCATGGTGGAGCTGAGAGGTAGGCTGGCTTTCTTCACCAGCCTCCAGCTGGCTGGGGAACCCTGAAAGAGACGGGGGAATGTAAGAGGCTATGGGGATGTGGTGGGAGGCTCTGGGCCCAACTCTGGCCCCATGTCTGGCTCAGGGCTCATCCGTCAGGGCGGGTCCCCATCAGGAGAGAAAATAAGGTCGACACTCAGCCATCTGTGGAGGTCCCAACTGGGGAAAGCAGCTGTGAGCACAAATGTGTGCATATATGCACGTCTGTACATGGACAGGTCTGTGTGTGCACGTCTGCATGTGCACGTGTGTTTAGGCGTGTGTGTACATGTATTTGTGCACATGCGGGTGTGATTACACACACACATGTGCACTGTGAACCCCATGCATTCCCTACACTCTGCCCTGTGCTAGAGCTCTTGAGTGGGGTCTCACTTCCTCTCCAAGAACACTGTTACCCCTCAGCGTTCTGTTTCCCCATGACCCTGCATAAGTAGAAGGTGCCAGGAAACATGCACGGAACTGAACAGAGTTCAACACACCTGCCCATCAGCAGGGGTCGGGGGGCTCTGCCCGTGGCTCTCCTGACCATGCTGCAGAAAGAAACCTCTAAGTATGATGGGGTCATTTGCAATTTCTTGGCTGGAAGGAGTCACTGGTCCTTTCTCTCCTTGTATCCAGCCTTCCTGGGCAACTAGGGTGAGGCCAGGTGGAAAGAAGGGGTCTTCCAGGTCCCTAGCCGATTTGGAGAAACTCAGGAATTTACTCTGGGAAGTACTCCGAAACACAGAATTTGGTTCCTGGCTTGACCATGTCATCTTTGTGTGACTCAGGTGGGTCCCAGCCTTCCCTGGGCCTCCCTGGCTCCCCGTGACAGGGGGGCCAGCCGGCTGCTCTGTGCCTCTCCCGCCTGCCCTTACCGTCTCCATGGCCCCAGGTGCTCAGCAGCGGCACCTCCAGGTCCAGTGGTACGTCCAGCTCCATGCACACGCAATGGATGAAAGCCTGCCAAGTGGCCTGGCCATGAGCGTGCAGTCTTCTGAGTTGTAGGATGACCCCCTGTGTGGCATCCTGGGCCTTGTCCCCGGAGCTCAGCTCCATCTCGGTGAGGAAGAACTTCATCTTGGCATTCAGCCATTCTGGGTCTTTGCTGAGCAGCCTCACGAGCCAGCTCCACAGGTGCTCAGTGCCCAGCTGGAGGCTAACGAGGTCCATGAGGAGCTGGCCCTGCAGGGACAGGGTGGGCAGGTGAGCTGGGGAGCAGAGAAGTTGGGAGACAGGTGAGCCGGGAGGCAGGTGAGTTGGAGGACAGGTGAGCTGCGGGGTAGGTGAGCAGGGGGACAAGTCAGCTGGTAGGAAGGCAAAGGGGTAGTCAAGACCTACCTCCCGCATCTGGGGGGCAGTAGATAGGCAGACAAGTGGTTTCTTTGTCTAGTCTCCCTGCCTGTGCCCAGGGATCAGTCCCAGAGAATAGTCCGCTTCTTTTGTACTCCTTAACTCCCTGCTTATTTGTGCCTGTGTCCTGGCTCTGGAAGGGTCCAGTTCATCCCCTGTGGATGGTCCCCTGAGAATGCTTTATTTTTTCTCATTTCCATGGACCTATTTGTGCTGCTCTCTATCTGAGCTAATCTCATAGCAGAGACAACTAGTTGTCCCCACAGCCCTAATCTGTTCTCCACTTCTTCCTTAGTATTGGAATTCCTGAATATTTCCTGGTCATCTGGAATAAGCTCTATTTCCCAGCCTCCCTTGCAGTTAGAATAGGCCATCTTACTAAGTTTTGGCCAATGGGATAAAGGTAGAAGTGTTGTATATCCTTCTTTGCTTCCTCCTGTTGGTTGGGATGTCAAAGTGAATGGTTGCACCTTGGGCAGCCATGCTGGATCATGAGGTGGAAGCCAGTGCGGAAGAAGGCAATGGGGAAGGCGTTCCACTTGTCCTGAACTTCTCGGACATGACAAGGAAATACGTTTCTATTCAAAGCACTATTGCTTAGGGCTTTCTGCTACTTACAGTGAAATTAAACGCTAGCTAATACAAACTATCTCTCTCAGCAAATTTTCCCCTTCTAAACTGGCACTCTTAAACCACCTGCCGGTAGGAATACCAATATAAGGCAGGGGTACTTACATAGCAAAGCTTAAATTTTTTTTTTTTAAAGATTTTATTTATTTATTTGACAGAGAGAGAGACAGCGAGAGCCCGAACACAAGCAGGGGGAGTGGGAGAGGGAGAAGCAGGCCTCCTGCCGAGCAGGGAGCCCGACGCGGGTCTCGATCCCAGGACCCTGGGATCACGACCTGAGCTGAAGGCAGACGCTTAACGACTGAGCCACCCAGGCGCCCCAAAGCTTAAAAAAATTTTGAAAAAATTGATTCGGCAATTATTTTTCTAGCACTCTAGCCTTAGGAAATAATTATGGGTGTACATAAAAATTTTAATTACAAAGCTGTTTCACTGCAAGTTTATGTATAATAGATAAAAACTGGAAGCAACCTAAATGTCTAAAAATTGGGGATTTGTTAACTAACTGGTTAGTTACTCCAAATCTACTTTCTGGTATTATTTCCTTAAGAATAGTAGCAAACACTTAGAAAGCACAGACTATGGGCGAGGCACTGTTCTAAGTGCTTTATGTGTCTCATATAATCCTCATGACTGCAGAGACCCCACTTCCAACTCTGAAAAGAGTGGGAGGCTCACCCAGGAGGAGCAGTCTTACCAACTCTCAGAGGCTGGGGTGCAGGACTGTATGTCCTGAGGTTCAGACTGCAGCTGCTTCCCTTGACTCCCAACAAAGGCATGTGTCCCCAGTCCCCTCTGGCCACACCTTGGCAACTGTACTCAAAGCAATAGCTCCTCGCTCAGCCACAGAGCTTTAGAATTCATGAAACATGCTCACATCCATGGGGTAGGCAGGGATCACCATCCCCACTGAACAGATACGAAGACTAAGGCCGAGGCTGTACCCAAGGTCATACTGCAAGTCCATGGCAGAGCCAGGCTCAGAACTGAGATTCCTTGCCTGTCAGGTCAGTAAATTTCTGAGGCCCTGGAGCCCTAGATGGCACCAGACAAGGACTAAGTCCCTGGACTTGGTGTTATCTTGGTCAGAGAGTGTGGTTATGGCCTAGGGCACAGCTTCTTTTCTGGGCTGTGGTGTTCAAAGTCCATGATGCCCATAAAGAAATCAGCCAGGACAGCAAGGTGTTAGGTGGAAGTGAGGACTGTCTAGGTGGTATAATTCTGGGGAAGTCCTTCGCCCTCAAATGTGTCCACCCTGTCAGTGTGACACAATGCCTTTGTTTCTGCCATTGATGCTCGGTCCCCTTGGGGTAAGGCATTACGCTCTTTAAGGATAACCATCCGTGGGAGAAAAAGCACATTACATTATTATTGGTCATTGAGGCTTCTACGGAAAAGAGCCTTGGAGACAGAGGATAATAGTAGAAAGATCCTCAGCGGGGCGCCTGGGTGGCTCAGTCGGTTAAGCGTCT